TCACAGTCTGTCACATACTCAGCTCTCAGTAAATACATACTGTTATTATGATTCAGGCTGATGGTGGCTGTTATTGTCAGCCCAAGAGGGAGAGTTCTGCATTCACCTTTTGGGGGAAAACTAACAAGAATGAGCTCTTTATTCTCATCAGTATCATTCAGTAAGTTCATAATTTTCTTTGGGAAAACAGAATTTGCTTGGAACGTGAACGTATGTATTTCTGCTGGGAAGTTAAGTAGTCATTCAACGTGGATTCTTCCATGGACTATCTGTGGAGTGCCTCCTATGTGCTGGGCACCCATCTGGATATGGGGAATATGGCAGTGGCTGGCAGTAGCTAAACCAACAGATGTAATAAAATGTCAAATGTGTATGTACTACACATGATGTCAAATAGTGCTGTGAAGAAAAACCCAGCTGGATAGGAGGAGAGAGGTGTGGTGGCCCTGCACGGTGGTTCTAATCACGTATTCATATGGCTGGAGGCCTGCCATCGAAGTGGGTCTCCACCTATGCAACCTCTAGAAACAGCACCAGACCCCCAAGTGTCTGCACCTTCCCACTGTCTCAAAGCCTCTACTGAAACCACAGTCCCCAGTTTACCCTCAGTTTCACCTGGCTCTGGGCACATGAGAGGACATTGGAGCTGGGGTTAGAGCCCAGGCCTCTCAAACTCCAGGCCAGCAGCTAAGGACTCCCTAGGAAGAGGGAGGCTCCCTGCTCTTCTAGGTTTCTCTGGGTCTCACGGCCACTACACAGACCCTGCCACGAGCCCAGCCTGGCCCCCAGGCAGACAGAGTGCCCCGCCCATCCCCTCGCCCCCAGCCCCAGCCAGTAAATCGTCCCTGAATTAATCAAAGCGCTGCACTGGTCCTAACTCACCAGGGGCCTCCTCCAGCGGCCACTTTGTGTTGGGTAGATTAATTGCAGCTGGGGGAGGGGAGAGAATCCATTTTTAGAAAATCATTACTTTCAGAAAGAGAGGGGGCCTTCAGGCTGGGGGAAAGTGCTGAGCTGGCAGCTCGGGGGGCCTGCTGCTTGAGCGCCAGGAAACTGGGGACTGCAGGCTGTTCCCAGCTCAGCGGGAAGGTGGTGGCCTGGGCCCATACTCCTGCTCTCCTGAGACTAGGGCCCCCACTTTCCAGCCCCACTGCTGCTGCCCTGTGATCCCAGCATGAGGCTCAGCAGATTGCTGGCATCCTGGCAGAAAGTGATCATCCCAATACTGACCAACCCCCACCTCAGTGGACTTTCCTCCCTGGGCCCCTTACCCACCCCACCGCGCTGAGGGCTGGGTCAGCCCTGCCTACGGGGAAAAATGAAGGGAATGGGGCTTATCTCCGCTGCCTTGAATTAAGCATTTAATAGATTTAATAATATGAAATGTCCATTTTAGTAGGTCAAAATGGTCAGGTATTAGCAACCTCATGTGGTTAGCCAGCTCTTCACAGGTATTTTGTCCACAGTCCCATCTCAGCCCTGTAAGGCAGGTAGAATGGCTGCTCATTTTGTTTCAGAAATCGAAGCTCAGCTGTGCATGATAGTGCACACTATAATAATCCCAGCACTCTGGGAGGCTAAGGCAGAAGGATCAAAAGTTTGAGCCCAGCCTAGGCAACCTAGTAATTTAGTGAGACCCTGTCTCAGAAAACAAAACAAAGGCTGGGCGTGGTGGCGCACACCTGTAATCCCAGCACTCTGGAAGCTGAGGCAGGAGGATCGCTGTGAGTTCCAGACCAGCCTGGGCTACAAGTGAGTTCCAGGTCAGTCTCAACTACCTAGTGAGACCCTGTCTCAAAAACCAAAAAAACAAAAAAACAAAAATTTTTCTTTTGGAGACAGGGCCTTGCTATGTGATCCAGGCTGGCCTTGAACTCATTAGGTAGCCCAAGCTGGCCTCAAACTCACAGCATTCCTCCTGCCTCAGCCTCTTGAGTGCCGACATTAGAAGCATGTGCCACCACACTCTGCTCCTGTCTTAAAAATTTTTAAATTAAAAGGATTGGGGATGTAGTCCAGCTCAAAGTCCCTGGGTTCAATTATCAGTACCATGAAGCAAAAAAGGAGGAAGGAGAGAAAAAAATTGAGGTTCAGAGAAGTTGACTTGCCTGAATATTCAAATACAGGTCTCCAGTTCCCAAGAAATAGCCACATTCTGTTTCTTGACAGACGTACTCTCCAACCTGAAGGGACTGTTAAGGTGTGCACTGTTTCACTGAGAACACACAGACTCAAAAAAGCTTCTGTGGGCTGAAAGTTGGGATCTAAATGACCATCAGGAAGCCAAGGTTAGATGTGGGCCTGGATACACTCCAACCACAGGCTGTGTTGGGGTGGCCCTATGCAAATTACAATACTCTCCTCTTGGAGAATCCGGTTCTTCTTGGGTCAGGTAAGGTCTTACTGCATCCTCTGTAGTTGTGGGACGGGGTTGCGCGACTCTGTAAAGGTTCTTGGTGCCTACGAATTCTTATGAATGTTGGGCATTGTTTCTACTGCTCAACAAGCAGGTAAACTTGGCCCATCCAAAAGAGAACTTGTTTAGGAAAACACAAACTTCACTCAGTCACCTCTTGACCCCACCCTTCCCAGAGAGATTAGATAGCACCAAAGTGATGAAATCTGACTTGAACACTTACCAGATGGGCGAACTTGGGAAACTCTGAATATCAGTTTCCTGGTCTGTGGAGTGGGTGGGGGAATGGTAACTGTGTCACCTGTAGAGTGGTTGTAATGTTGTTCTGAGAGGATTCCAGTGTAAAGCACTTAGAACACTGCCTAGTGCTGTCAGCATAGTAAGTGTGGGATCTTTATGTCATTCCCAGGTCATGCTAAATACACAATTCTTCATCTTCCTTCCTCAGAAGCACCACAGACTCAGCCCGTAGCCTCAGGTGATGCTGGAGGGCAAGACTTAACATGGTCGCCAGTGGCATGGTGTTGGGTACATGAACAGCACTCAGCTGACGTGGGTGATGACCTCTCTGCAAAGAAAGTGTCAGCTTCCAGCAAATGTCAGCCTTCTGCTAACCATCCCTCCTTCCTTACCAACTGACGTTCAGCCATGCCTCCCCACCCCAAGAACCTGCATGGTCACACCCCAATTCCAGATTCCCCAGAGGCTTTGCTCCAGCAGTGACGCCTGTGGAAGAGGGGCCTTCCTTTCCCTAATCCCAAGGCTGTGGGGCCAGAGCCCCACAGGATTGAGTAGCACATAAGCATCTCACCTGTAGACCTCCCTTACCACTTCCTTCCTGTGACCTTGGACAGGTGACTTTGCGTCTCCAAGCATCCATTTTTGCAGAGGGTTCTACAGGATTAAGTGGTAATTCCCCTTACTGGTTAGCAGCTTGCCTGGCACCCAGTGAAGCATTCAGTGGAAGGTAAGTGTCGTTACTGAAGAGCACCCTGGCATGCTCATGCCAGTGATGTGAGTTAATGCAAACTGAAATGACTCGGACAGCTCTAGAATGTTAACACCTACTGTGCCCACCCCTCCTCCACCACCACCACCCTATGTAGTTAATTAGAATCCTCCTCGGGTGCTTTCCAAAGATCAAATTTTACTTTTATACCGAGTTCGACTAGCATGCATAGAGGTGGGTTTCAGTACAACTGATAAAAAAGCCAAAGCTGCTTTGTTGTTTATTGTGGGTTGTTTTTTTTTTTTTTTTTTTTTTTTTTTTTTTTGTGCCAGGGATTGAACTCAGGACCTTGCCCCTTGCAAGACAGGCAGCACAACCATTGAGTTAAATCCCTGGCCCCAAAGGGAGTAGTGAGCTCCTCATCTTGTGAGCAAGCCCAGAGAATTTGGCTTTAATGTTCTGGAGCATAAATCAACGTGTATTAGTATTTCTTGCTGCACAACTGTATTATAATTCCCTTTAATGAAATGGTGGTGCCAGCAGGCTGTGGTGCTTTGTCATGATTGGGCAAGAGTTGGAAGCTTTACACCAGCTGGCCCCCAAAAGGGTTTTAAAAATTGTACTGGTTTGTGATATTCAAATTTTTAACTATTTCAAAGGAACCCCCTTCTTGGAGCCAGGGTTCAAAACCCAACATAGATCCCCACACAGCCTTCAGCTTGGTCCTCACAATGCAGATCAGTAGGCAGAAATCCCAGATCAGTTGGCTGATGCAGGGACCAAACTATAGTCCCCAGACAAGAGCAGGGCTGAGGGGATGGTTGAGTCCAACAAACAGGGCAGGAAACAGATTGGCCAGAATGCCCAGCACATTACACCCAGGAGACAAAGGAGATGGGTGGGCAGCTCTCTCCCTCCAAGCTTCCAGCCCCCAGAGCACCTGCCTCAGAATCCAGTCTCCCCTTCAGTGATAAAGATGGGCTGAGGATTCCAGGCCAGAACCTGATGGATGTGGGTTTTGGGGTCCTGTACTTGCCCATCTGTTCCTGACCCAATCTCATCAGATGACAGGCCCCTTCCTCAATTCGACAAGTTTCAATAAATCAGCCTCAGGGCTGGGGATTTAGCTTAGTGGTCCTGCCGCCTGCCTCACAAGCACAAGGTTCTGTGCTTGTTTGATTCCCAGTACCACAAAAAGAAAAGGGGAAAAAAAAGATCAGCCTCAGGGAGCCACTAGGTTGTCCCCTGTTACATATTTTACCTGGCCAGCGTTGCCCCAGGATCACCACCTAACAAGGAGGTAGGGAGTTGGGAGTGGGGAAAATGGGTTACTGGCAAGGAAGAGCTGCCCTAGATAGGTAGTTTGCATAGTCCCCCCATAACCTCATCCCCACTCAACAGTTTTGATAGCCGCTTCTTCCCCCTCCCCTCCAAGCAGAAGAAAAAGGAGCTGGAGGACATGGAATCAAGTATACATTTTAAAAATTGTTTAATGGAACATAAACTCCTTTAGAAAAACATTCAGCTAGGTGATAACACCCATAGAAAAAAACACCAATCTTGTGTTTATCTTTTTTAATTTGGCATTTGTTATTTGCATTTATATTAAAGCAAAGTGCATCTTTTATTTTTCTTGTTTATACACATTGCACAATACATAAATAATGATGCTTATAAAACGTCTTTATATTTACAAGTAATAATATATTTATATATAACATAAAATACATTTTTTCTTTAATAAATCTCAGGTTCTTTTCAGGAGTCCTTTTTCTCTCAAAGCACTACAATGCTAAATCTCCAATGAGAATGCTTCTCTTGTTCATTTAAACCTTTGTAGTTAGAAAAATAGCTTATGTTAAAGTCTAAACATGCTCATTGAGCTAAGAACAGTGTCAAAGTATCATACGAGTGTATGAGTTGTAGAAGAAGTGACAGAAGAGTTAGGTGTCAGCCTAGGATGGTACCTTGGGTTATGATGGACCAAATTCTTCCTGGTAGGAGGGAAGGAGGCCACTGAGCAGGACCCTCTTGGGGTTGTCCTCTCACTGGTCTGACTGCTCAGCACCCAGGCTGGGGTGGGTGGGTGGTGCTGAGCTGGCTTGGGATGTCTGGGAGAAACCTGATAAACCAGGGCAGAGAGGCCGGGGGGGCCTGAAAGGGCACTGGGGAGCAATGCTGTGACAGGACAGGGCTGCCCCAGCAGCCCTCAGGAAGCCCATCTCCGAAATCCAGGAGCAGATGGCCAAAAAAAGAAACACTACAATGGCAGCAGGGTGGTGGGAGGGGAGTAAGACAAGGATGAAAACAATTGGTTCTGGTTCAGCCTCTACCAGGCTAGCTTCTCAGAAGCCTGTGGATAGGCCCGTGTCCTAAAGGGGGTAAGGTGGGGTGGGAGCTTCCAAGGCTGGGACAAAGCGTCACTCCTGCAGCTGCTGGGACACCGGCGACCAGCCAGCCTGCTCAGGTACTGCCTCTGCCCCACTGAGCATGTCCAGAGGGCGCAGGAGACGCACAGCTTGGAACAGCAGACCTCTCAGCTGGGACATCCGTAAGGAACAAAGGCTGTGTTGACCTCCCATCTGCTGTTCGTGCGCACACACTCACAGACACACACTCTCCTTCGAGTGTACACTCCTGACAAGTGAAATGCTGACCCAAAAGCGAAGGGACTGCTCCCCATTCAGACACCGTTTGGTGGTGCTGACTTTTGCTTCCCCCTTTCCCACGGGTGACCTGACCTGTCCACCTGTCCTGCCAACCACACTTGCCCCCCTCCAAAAAAAATTCTTTTCATAAGCTATTTCTCAAAGAACAAGACACAAGAACACAAACAAGGACAAGAAGAAAAAAGAAAATACCCCACCAACAACAGGGGGAAAAAAACGACCAAAGAGTTTGCATGAAAAGCAAGCACTCGGGAGGAAAAGATTAGCAGCAAAGTAGTTTGAATGGTGGCCTGCTCGGCACGCGCTCGTCCTCTCCCCAGTGGCTACCGGCTGTTGAAGATGACCTCCAGCCAGCACGGGCAGCTGCTGATGAACTGGCGGGTGTAGCACTGGCCCCAGCCCTTCACAAAGCTGATCTGCACGGTGAAGCCTGTCCACGGCTGCTGCATAAACTCGTGGTCGTTGGGTCGCTGCAGGCTGTACGCCTTCTCATAGTCGAAAGCCTTGATGGAAAAACCGGGGAACACCTTGTGCACCAACAGCGTCCTGGAGTCCGGGTTGTCCAGTGTGGCGGACTTGATGAAGATGGGGTAACTGCTGCGGTTGTACACCCACACGCCATCCACTTCCCGAGTCAGCTGGATGCCACAGCCAATTTTGCTCCGAACTTTCTGCACCAGCTGACTCTTGTTGTCCGAATTGAGCTGTCCGAGGCAAAAGCCATTCCCCTGAGGTAGATCATAGAAGATATCCAAGGAAGGCTCCTGGACACAGTAGAGCCTCCCCACTCTTGTCTTCTCCTCCCAGTATGCCACCACGCACCAGTGTGACCGATCCCCAGGCTCCAGAAGAAGTTGGGAATCTAGAAAACAAAACGACAGGTAAGGTTAGCAGCTTCTTTTTCCTGCTACAACTGAGGTACTCATCAACAGCGTGATGTGACAGTGGACCAGGACTAGCTGCAGGTACAAGAGTCCTGCCTTCGTCTCCGCATGGGGCTCCCAGAGGTGCTTCCTCTACCCCTGGTTCCTGTCAGGAATCCAGGACACCAGCACCTGTGCCCACTTGGCAAAGAAATAGAGGCCAAAAAGAGTACCAAGACAACCTAGAATTATAGGTCTGAGATGGAACCCTGAAGCCCAGTTAAAAAAACTGGAATCCATATAGCTGGGGTACTAGGTGATAACCCCACCAGACATGGAAGCCAGCCTGCCCAGACTCTACCACCTACTCTATAGCATCTGTACTTGTCATCAAAGCTCTCCAATCATCACCGTGGTCCTAAGGGTCCCCTATCTGATAAAAGTAAGAGTCATTCGGGGCAAAAACGTCTGTCTAATTTCCTAACAGAGAAATAACTGTCAACATAGCAGCAAGTCAGCCAGCACACAAAGGGTGAATTCATGTCAAATGCCAAATCACAACACACAGGTGGGCACTAAGCTAGACGACCTTAACAAAGCCTCCTCCAACTCAGCCAGAGAAGATGTGTGATATGTCTAAAACAAACAGATGTGACCATCCTTGAACTGCTCCTTCTCTGCCCGCAGCCCCCTCCCCAGACGCCCCCTCTCTCCCCTTCTTTCTCAGACTGACCCTGCCTACTCCACCAATGCCGTGTGCCCAGGTGCCCTCTGCTACAAGCCCCTGCCTTAACTTTCCTCCTCGGTTTTGCACAGCAGCGTGGGAGCCTGGAGTAATTCTGGTTAGGTGATTTTCCTAAGCAGGCACCTCGAGGACTTTAAAAGGGGAATCATGTGGAGGGAAAAAGACTCTCCCCCCTCCCCTGCTGCCTCCTTAAACCCGGAGCCAGGGGTGGGCAGGCCTCAGACTGGAGACCATAAATCTCTCCAGCCCAGCCAGGCTGCAGGAACGCTGTGGTTTGTGGCGGCAGGGTGGAGACCGGAAGTCTTGTATTTGTTAACAAAAATGGGGAAAGGCAGCAGGGGAAAGATGAGAGAAAAAAGCAGGCCCAGAGTTGGAGGCCTCGTGCTGCTCTCACTCTAGTGGGTCTGCGGGGACCCAGAAAGTGGGGGTTGAGTGTGAGAAGTGTTTTGCCATGACATTTGGTTTCTGAGCAACTGGGCTCAGAGCTTTGCCAGTGAGGGCCATCCCCTACAGGACCCTTGTCCTGCCGCCCAGCAGGCTGGGTAAACCAGCGTAGCTCAGCACACCAACTCTTTCCAACTTTTACAGGCATGTTAGGACCTGGGAACAGTCGACTTGATCCCCCCCCCCGCCGCTTTGTTTAAAGCAGCAGCCAGTTCTGGGACAGAAGTGTAAGTCTACAAATGTCCAGTGACCCACTGAGGCACCCTGAGCAGCTGTCCCTTAGACACCCCAAATGACCTTCCCAATGCCTGCACAGACAGCCTCACAGAAAGGGGAAGCCAAGGGCTCATTCCTTTCCCTTGATCTCCACCCCCGCCACTGAAAATCACCACAAACCTGGCCTGTCACTGTCCCCCACTCCCTGCTGTATAAAATGCAAGAACTGTGAGATGTTTGTGTGTCCATGGCCTAAGGGCGTGAGTGTGTGTGTACGTGTGAGGGTGTCTGTGTGTGCTTATACACATAGGAACATACAGAAAAACAAGAAAGGCACAAGGGTTCAGAGCAGAAGGTGACTCATCAGGCATTAACTTGTTTCTGCAAAGTATCCATCAACTGCTAATAAACTCTTGAGCACTGGCAATCTTTGAACTTCCCTGCCAAGGGAACTCAGCTCTGAAGGCTACATCACAGACCCATCCCATCCGTAGAAGAAAGAGTATCGCAGGCGTGCACGTGGTGGTAAGGTGCAGGCCCTCTTCTCAGAGGCGCTGCTCAACCTTTTGCAGGAAGAGGGTGTTCTGAAATATGCCAGAAGCTCTGGCTTGTTCTGACTCAGGACAACAAACCTGGCCAGGAAAGAAAGGCTGGGGAGTGGCTGGGAGGCAAGGAAGGAGGCTCCCCAGTGGGTAGACCTTCAGTGGAGCCTCGCAATGCTTTGTTTCATGTATCCCAGCCCCACTGAAACCTGCTGGCCACCTCAGCAAGGAGTAGAAGCCTCCACCACCAGGCAGGTGGCTCTCTGGGGCAGAGGACAATGGGTAGGGCCCGGAGGGGTGTGTGGACATGCCCGCTTCTCTTTCATCTGCACAGCCAGTCTATCCAGCAATTTGCTGCCAGACAGCCCCTGGAAAAAGCCTTTTTCTGTTGGGGTTAATGGCCCAGCCCAGATAAACAGCAGCATGCTGTGTTCCTGCGTGTGAACAAGGTCCCTTAAAGTAGGTGCAGCGCCCTAATCCACCACAGGAAGACCCCCTGCCCACATCTGCATGCCTCTCTACCCCTCAAACGTCCTCCAGTGTTCTCCAGCCTCTGAAAAGGCAGCTCCACGGCCCGGCTCCTACCTGCCCAGGGCGTTTCTGAGCAGAAAACACGTTCCAGGAAACCCACTCAGCAACAGCTGAGAAGTCTGCTGTAGCACACAGCCTAGTGTTCACATCACACCTTTGGAGACAACACCCCACACTGCCAGGACAGAGACCCACCCACCTCCATTTGTTCTGAATTCCCCCATTGCAGCTCATTTCTGGGAATGACCCAGCATCATCTTCACAGGAACTGTTCCCTGAGTTGGACTCACAACCCACAAGAGTCTCCCAGCAAAGGTCATGGTAGACCCCCCGCTCCTGGGGCTTCCCAAGAGCTGTAAGCCAGGACCTAAGAAGTGTCAGTCATCACAAAGACCGAGAGTCTCAGAGGCCAACTCTGGTTTCTCATCCTTGCCGCTGACGCTTAACCTCCCAAGGCAACACTCACAGTCCCTTGTTAATTTCCCCCAGCTTTATAACCTTTTCCGGTATTTGCAACAACTTCTTCCCCTCCCCAGAAAAGTAACTGTACAGGGGCTTGTTTTAAAACTGTACATGTTCATCTGAAAGCATCCAAAAAGAAAAGCTGTGTTGTAAAAAGCTCACTAATCAGATGCCTGCTCACAATTTTTTCTTTTTATTACAGTTAAGGGAATTTTTGGAGCAACACCAGAAAAATGCTGAGTCTGCCTAAAATTCCGTTAAGGTGTTTCCCCCTCCCCTTCCTCATTTTCTTTAAAGCATAAAATCTCCCCTGTAAGGGCAAGGGAAGGTAGAGGCTGAGAAGGAGAGGACTTTGCCTGTCTGCACGCAGCACTGAAGAAAACCACTTAGGGGCTCCCTGCCTTGGACAAGGAGGCAGTTAACTACCCTGGTCCTGAATGAACAAACCAGGCCCTTCTGGACCAGCAGCTCACGGTGACTCAAGCTGCACATCTCAACTGCACGCAGTGACCGGATCACAAGGCCACATTTTTGGTAAGGAAGGAATTTTCCCCTTGGAAGTTTAGAGGAGTTGAGGAAGAAGAAAAACAAAGGGAGAGAGAAAGGCGAAGTTCAGGGTCTCAGTAGTACCATTTCTGGCCCCCAGCTTGGGAAGTAGTTGATCGTGAAGCCAGAGAGATGGGAGCTACACTGAGAATACCTGTGGGATTCTGACAATGTGGATACGCATGATGGTGCAAGTCCACACACAGAGGAGGCGTAACAGGGAAAGAAGAGGTCCCCAAAATTAGGGCCCCGGAGGACAGGGACAAAGCTTGGGGAATGAAGCCAAGTATGACAGAGCTACACAGCAGCTAGTATCCACCGAGGCTAAGGTGCCCAGCTAAGCCAGGTATGGTGGTACACTCAGGAGGCCGAGGCAGAAAGGTTGTGAATTTAAAGCCAAGCTGAGTAAACATGGAGACCTTATCTCAAAAAACAAAACAATACTGGGTGCAGTGGTGCACACCTCTGTAAATCCTACCTCTTGGGAGGCTGAGGCAGGATGGTCATCACAAGTTTGAGGCCAGCCTGGGCTACATAGGGAGACCCCGTCTCAAAACACAAAACAAAACCATGCCCAACTGCCAGGGCCTGGGGGCAAGGGTAGGCACCTGGGGTATTAGAGGGCAGGGGTCTCAGCTCTTAGCTCACTCTCATCTCCCCGGGGCACTTGGATTATAAGCCATCCGGTCGAGTGCAACAATCTAGTGGAGCAGAGGCTGAACATGGAGAAGCCAGGCAGCAAAGGAGACTGGGCAGAAACACTGCCTCCCACAGGCCTCTCTCCAAGCTGACCAGGGGCAAGCAAAGGACAGAAATGTAAACACAAAGGCTCACACCCAGCAACTCCCAAAGGCAAACATCACCCCACCTCCACTGAGGCAGGTGGGTCCAAGAGTCGCTCTCTATTCAGGACCCAGGCGCTACCAGCCGCAGCCCTGCTCTGTCCTTCCCTCCCCATGGCTCCCTCTGCATCAGATATCTCAAAGGTCAACAGCACAGCACCGGTGCCCTGGTACCCTGCTCCTCACCCATTCAGGAAGCTGACTGACCTCACCCAAACTACTTCAGAGATAAGAGCTGAGATAAATATAGGGGGACCCGGCACTCATAAATCCAATCTAGTCTCACCCCACATCAGCAAAACAAGGATGCTTGTCTCTTCTTTCCAAAAGGCAAGTGACCAAAAAGCAAAGCCAACATGTATGGGGGCCATGCTCGCACCTCACCCAGATCCTGCATGGAAATACAGCCCAAGGGCTCAGTGGGCCCCTAGGGCAGCCTGGACAATCTAGGGTTCACAGCAATTTACCCCACAGAGGCTCAAACAGACTCGAAACACTTTAGGTTAGCTGTTACAGAGAAAATGCGGGACACACACATCACCCCCGCCCCACGCTCTTCACCAAGGTGAGGTCTAGCTGGTGGGAGGCTGCACTGAAAAAGTCAAGGTTCTTTTCACTCTCTACTGTGACCTCTCTAATGAGGGTCTAGAAGGAAGTAAGTAGGGTGTGCA